TATATACATACATATATATATATATATATATATATATATATATATATATATATATATATATATATAATGTCACAACGTGCAAAGAAAGGACACAAGACTTCGTTTCAACGGGAACAGCAAGGCTCAGCAGACGCGCAACGTCGTGTTCCTCGAAAAACGCCAGAGACTGCCACTCGTGATGCTGGCTTCTTCCTCCTCTGTTGTACTTTTACGGCTAATAACAGTGACATTAGCCTCCCTTCAACGAAGGCATCGTCCCGATGCTTCATTACCATGGCGGCAGGATTTGTAGTCACTGGCAGCCCACGGGTTTCTTCAGACAAATAAGGCTTCATCTGAACCACGTGCACAAGTTCTGGTGCATGTCTTTGACGTCTTGAACAATGTGGACTGTCGGGAATCACCTCATAGTTAAAACCACTGAGACGCCGGAAGGCCCCGCCGCGGTGGTCTAGTGGCTAAGGTACTCGGCTGCTGACCCGCAGGTCGTGGGCTCAAATCCCGGCTGCGGCGGCTGCATTTCCGATGGAGGCGGAAATGTTGTAGGCCCATGTGCTCAGATTCAGGTGCCCGGTAAAAAACCCAGGTGGTCGAGATTGCCGGAGCCCTCCACTACGGTGTCACTCATATTCATATGGTGGTTTTGGGACGTTAAACCCCACATATCATATCAATCATGAGACGCCGGAGGACTTTATACGGCCCAAAGTACTGTCTTAAGAGCTTCTCTGAGATGTGATGATGGCGAACTGGGGTCTAGATCCAAACTTTCTCTCCTGGTTCATAGGAGACTGCTCGGTGACGAAGACTATAGCACCTTGTGTCATAGTCCTGGTGGCTACGAATACGTCTCCTGGTTCATAGGAGACTGGTCGGTGACGAAGACTTGTGTCATAGTCCTGGTGGCTACGAATACGTACGCGGGCAAGCTGGCGGGCTTCTTCAGCAAGCTGAGATAAGTAGTCTGCACTTGTTTTAACTCTATCACTTTCATCTGGCAACATAGCTTGAGCATGGTTGTGACGTCACGGCCATAGAGAAGACGGAATAGTGTCATGCGTGTTGTCTCTTTCTGTGCCGTATTGTAAGCGAAAGTGACATAAGGTAGCATCTCGTCCCAGGTTTTGTGTTCCACATCGACGTACATGCTAAGCATATCCGCAAGTGTTTTGTTCAGCTGTTCCGTCAGACCATTTGTTTGTCGATGGTATGCCGTTGTACGCCGGTGAGATGTCCCACTTAGGCTTAAAACTGTGCGTAATAGCTCGGCTGTGAATGCTTTTTCTCTGTCAGTGTAACGGTTATTAGCTGTAAGCACAACTGAGGAAAAAGAAGCCAGCATCACGAGTGGCAGTCTCTCGCGTTTTTATTTTTTTACTTTAAAAAGAACTGAGGTTTATTGATAACAGAGCTTTCAAAATAACCGTGACAATACACACACACACACACACACACACACACACGCACACACACACACACACACACACACACACACATATATATATATATATATATATATATATATATATATATATATATATATATATATATATATAGAGAGAGAGAGAGAGAGAGAGAACATAATCGAAACGCTCGCATCACCTCGCAACCTTCCGCATAAATGCAATTATGCGGATGGCAGCATTCCCAACACTACCTATCTCTCTTATTCGATGAAATTTTTTAATGTCTAGAAGCAGCTCACAAATTGACTCTTTTTAAAATGTGAAATATTCTTTGAAGTGGTCTAGTAGCAAAGGTACTCGGCTGCTGACTCGCAGGTAGCGGGATTCAATCCCAGCTGCAGCAATTGCACTTTTAGTGGAGGCGAAAACGCTGTAGGCCCGTGTGCCCAGGTTGTGTGTGCGTTAAAGAACCCTAGATGGTCAAAATTTCTAGAACCCTCCACTACAGCGCCTTTCATAATCATAAGGCGGTTTCAGAATATTAAACCCCACATATCACTCAAGCAATCCTTAGAGAACCAAAGGTACTTCGAGGGTTTCTGTCTACTTATCTACCTGTCTGGCTAGCTACGTCTTGGTGCTCACTTAGCTGCCTAGTCTCTCTAGTATAGACCAAAAGCGGCATATGTGGGCACGAGCACGTGAGAAAATGTGCCTAGTCTCGACATAAGGTGAAAATCATGTCGTGTATACGTCATAAAACTTTCAGTTAGTTGTGTCACACGCCCGTATACCACGGGGTGCGGCTTGCGGGTGTGGACCTTAAAGTTCGTATCTACCTCAGAGTTGTGGCGACAGACGTCAGAGATTCAAACGGTAGAACGTTTTAAAATTCTGGCATCCACCGAGTGCAAAGAATAGGAATCAAGATACCAGCCGGAATTGATTTCAAGATATTCGTGTGGCAGACATGTTTTCTATCGCAGAGCTACGAAGTCTTGAATCTGCTTAGCAAAAGTTTCTGTACATACATGATTCGCTTTAAAGTGATTATAGGTACATTGTTACATATATGTATATTTATAACAAGGAGA